GTGTGTGTGTGTGTGTGTGTGTGTGTGTGTGTGTGTGTGTGTGTGTGTGTGTAACTCTTGGACAAGTCTTCCTATAAGATCCTCACAACAGACCCATGTAATATGCTGAAGGCTTCACTTTATTTTTCTTGATATTGTGTAAATAACAGTAGAGCACAAAGAATGATCATCAGTTATCCCTCCCTGATGCTCTTGTTATGGGACTAGACAATCCTTGTTTCTTGCCATACATGGTCTCCATGAGTTGCTGTGGGTGAAAGAAAATCATCACCTAGTGGCCACTTAGAAACCATGAGATCTTCAAATCAGACAAACTCACAAGGATAAAAAAATTGTGCCAGAAGAGTGCTGGGTTGTTGTTTTTTTTTTTTAATTCTTTGCTTTGCTTTTTGGTTTTCTTGTAGTCCTTTATGTCCTTCAATTTTATATTTAGTAATAAACAGGTAAAAACTTTTTGTTAAAGAATGTATTTTGGATTTTTATAGATTCATAGAAATTTAAGGCTAAAGGGAATCTAAGAATCATCTAGTCATTCCCTTCATTTTGTTGATGCAATAACTCAGACCCAGGGAGAGCATATGACTTCCCCAAGGTTATAGGGCAAGTGGTAGACTCAGGATTCAAATTAAGGCAAGGTCTCCTACCACCTATTTAAGTGCCTTTTCCATTACTGCATTGTTGCTTTTTCCAGGTGAACTAATAATAGTTTAGCCACCAGGTAAGTCTATTAACTACTAACCTCATTCTATTCACAAGAATCAGGTACTAGGAAGTCCTATTCACTCAGGATATTATACATTCTGCTCAACAGCAGAGGTAGCTCCAGGGAAATGCCAAGGTTTCTATATTTCTCAGAGAACTATCAATCTTTTATTCCTCAGATCTATCCAATTCTGGGTAGCAGGACTAGAGTTGTTCATCTAAGGGGTGAGGTCAATATAGGTTTTCTCATTCAGAATTTAGTCTGAGCTTCTATACATGGAAAATGCTGCCTTCTTTTATCAGCTGTGTTTCACTAAGCTTTAGTCATGAGATGAATAAATGAATCAAGAAATTGTTAATCACCTATTACGTGTCAGTTACTGGCCAAGTATTCGGATACAAAACTAAGCAAGCAAAGCAGCCCCCTGAGCAGCTTATCGTTGGCAGTATATAAAACGGGATCACAAGTGTTCATGTGCTATGACATGGCTTAGAAATGGACAGAGAGTGGTGCTGTGGCCTGGATCTGAATGAGATATAATGGAAACTCACCTGTCAGAATCCAAGGCACCAGACACAAGAGTCGAGGGGTGAAGAGGAGGAAGGAGAGTGCCAAAGTGCAGGTGGAATGATTTGGAAATAACCTGGAAGTAGCAAGATTATCCCGGTTTTGGATGAGATGCAATGAAAACTTACCTATCAGAGCCCAGTGGCTGAGGGACAGAGTCTGAGTTGTGATAAGAGGAGGAGAAGCAGAATACAGACACCATGGTTTAGAGGTGGCTGGGAAGTACATAATGGAATCAGCCACACAAACACGCTCAACTGTTGACTGGTTTTCTCGAAGGCATAAAATCAACAAAAAAAGGAATGAAATCAGAAATACTGCTACCCAGGCTGCACCCCCATGGATTTTCCCAGACTTAGGTGGTCTTTAGCTAGCCTATCATCAGGGTTCAAATCCAAGATTTCTAGGACACAGTCTAAGGTGCCTAGGCATAGCTTCTGCTACTCCCAGTGGAGCTGTGGCCATCTCCAATGTGGAAGTCAGCAATACTCTCTAATGCAAAAATTAGCACATTTCCCCAGTGCAAAAATGGATACTCTATCATAGCCACTGTTACTCTGGATTCAGCCACTGATTCTGCTTCTGCCCTAATATTTCCTGAGTGAATGCTAATGCTTGCCCACTCTTAAATCCAGTGCTTTTCCATTTGGTGGCATATTGATTACAGACACCTCCACCTGTTTTTAACTTAGCTAATATGCTGGTGGGGGCAGGAGGCAGGAAGGCGTGAGGTTGGGCCCTAACATAGAGAGCTATGTCTCTTGCTTGACATTTATTCCCCTTGTCAGCTTCTCTCCTTGAAAAAAATAAAAATAAAAACATAGAAAACTTATATGAATTGATAACAAAGTGAACAAAGCCAGCAGATCATTGTACACAGTAATAGCAGTATTATACAATGATTAGCTATGAATGACTTAGCTATTTTCAGCAATATAATGATCTAAGACAATTCTGAAGGACTTATGATGAAAAATACTATCCACTTGAGTGCAGATTGAAGCATTTTTTTTACTTTATTTTTATTTTTGTTTTCTTTCTTATTACTATATTTTATTTTTCTTCTTTTTTTCTTTCTTCTTTTTTTCTTTTTTTTCTTGGTTTGTATGCTCCTCTGCAACATGGTTAATATGGAAATATGTTTTTCATGACTGCACATGCATAATCTATATCAAAGTGCTAGCTTTCTTAAGGAGTACAGAAGGGAGGAAATTTGGAACTCAAAAATTATTTTAAAAAAATGCTAAAAATGGTTTTACATGTAATTGAAAAAAAATAAAATAAAAACATTCTTTAAAAAAGAAAAAGAAAAAACCCATAGCACCTCCTTCCTTGATATTGTGTTCATATCCACTTCCTAGACAGATGCCCTTTGGCTCTTTCCACTTGCTGGCCTTGCTTACACAGGACAGGCTCATGTCTATTTATGAAAGAAATAGATAGAGGCACTTTTACAATAGTAAGACAAGGTTCACTGGATCATAGGATTTAAAGTTGTATATGTCACTAGTCCAACCCTTCATTTTATATATGAAGATGAGACCCACAGAGTTGAGATGACATGCCAAGTTTTCACAGGGACTAGAGCTAGATCCTGATTAGTGTGAGCAATGAGTCCCCTGAAGTGGTGGCATTATTTGAATTCACATATATATTTCCACTAGGCTGGAACTAATTACCACATTTTACATAATTGTAACTACAAATAGTATAGATTTGTATACATGTGATCACCTCACTCTTGTATTCCAATAAGCTATGCTTCCGCTAGGATGCCTGAAGTTGGGTAGTTTTTGTTGTTTATTTAAATAATCAAATGGAGTAAATAACGAATATGTCTGGTCTTTAGGAGGTAATCATGCTGTATTCTGAAAATCTTTTTTTTTTTAAATTTTATCAGGTACCATTTCTGTCAACACATTACGGACACCCTACACAGCTCCAGGAGAAAGTGAGATCCTAGACCTGGATGATGACCTCTACCTTGGGGGTTTGCCAGAAAACAAGGCAGGCCTCATTTTCCCAACCGAAGTGTGGACTGCTCTTCTCAACTATGGCTACGTGGGCTGCATCAGGGATTTGTTTATTGATGGTCAGAGCAAAGATATTCGACAAATGGCTGAGGTTCAAAGCACTGCTGGAGTCAAGCCTTCTTGCTCAAGAGAAACAGCAAAGCCATGCCTTAGCAACCCATGTAAAAACAATGGCATGTGTAGGGATGGGTGGAACAGATATGTCTGTGATTGTTCTGGGACAGGCTACCTTGGCAGGTCCTGTGAGAGAGGTAGGTTTAAAGATGAGGCACCTACGTCATGATTATATTTGAAGTTCTTATTAGATTGATGAGCAGGGAGACTGGTTAACTGAAGCTAAACTGATTCTTATTGAAGTATAGGCTCTAGATCACATTATTTATTTATTTAGAGGCAGCTGCATGGCTCAGTGGATAGGGCACCAGGCCTGGAGTCAAGAAGACCTAAGTTCAAATTCACCCTCAGACACTTACAAGCTGTGTGACCATGGACAAGTCATTTAACTTCTGTTTGACTCAGTTTTCTCACTGATAAAATGGGTTTAATAATAGCACCTAACCCCCAGGGTTGTTTGGGAATCAATTGTACTTAGGGAAGCTAGGTGGTGCAGTGGATAGAGCACCAGGCCTGGCATCAGGAAGACCTGAGTTCAAGTATGGCATCAGACACTTACTAGCTGTGCCACCCTGGGCAGGTCACTTAACCCTGTTTGCCTCAGTTTCCTCATCTATAAAATGAGCTGGAGAAGGAAATGGCAAACCACTCCAGTGTCTTTGCCAAGAAAACTCCAAATGGGGTCACAAAGAATCAGACCACAACTGAAATGATGAAACAACAACAACAACAACAAAAGTACTTAGCTCTGTTCCTGGTACATAGTAAGCATTATATAAATGTTAGCTATGATTATTATTATTATCATTATCATTATTATTTATTACTACTACTACAACTACACCCATTTATGTCATGAGTGTGCATCCAAGCACCAGTATAAGTTGGGGCATTATTATTATTAATGTACTAAATATTTGGGAAGGTATACAAGTTGAACATATCATCAGAATACAAAGTCAGCATTTTTGAGTGTTTCAGGGAAATGACCTAAAAAGTGTGTTTTTGGTCATAGAGGCTGTCTCTTTTACCTAGAAAGACCACTACTTACAGAAATAGTCTCTGTGCCATGCTCATTCAGAAGAATGGGAGATGAAGTAGAGAGTACTTAGCTAGATTTATGGACACTAATAGTTACATCAATGACAGAAAATAAGACTTGAGCCAGCATGATATAGTGGATAGAAGGCTTGCTTTTGAGTCAAGAAGACCTCACTCAGTTCAGGTCACACCTCTAGTGAATATTAGCTATGTGGCCAAGGGTAAATCCTTTCACCTCTTCATGTCAACAAGAAGCTCTCTAAAATGGTATGTTACAGAAAGTGGCAAAAGAGTTGCCATTCTAAACTAGTGAATGGAATTCCGACACTGGGAGTTCTTCATGCTGATGAAATCACAGATACAGATTGTCTCCCTCCCTTTGCAAAGTTAAATCATTTTAGTCAAAAAGTAAGTAGAAACACCATTGATATTATTGAACCTCTATATGAGTAGGTTGCAGAGTTAAAATGGGGTAGCAAATACTGCGTTGACCTCAGAGTTAAAGAAAAAAAAAGTTTGGGCTTAATTCTTATTATGAAAGAAAAATATCAAAGCCCCTTTTTTCCTGGAGTGTCAACGAGATCATTTATGTTATTGGCTTCATCAACCAGGTAATTTTATGCAACTGTGCCTCACTTAAATCCAAGACATCACCCATCACATGATGATGTCATTGGTTCTCTTCAAAAAAGAAAAAAAACAAAACAAAACAAAAAATGAAAGACTAACAACAATAAATGCACTTTTAAGAAGTACATACAACCTTCAGTGGAGCCCTATGTCTAAAGCCTAGCCTACCACTAAAGAGTACTTTACACATGAATTAGTTTATGAAGCCCCGTACCAGAGTCAGTCCTGCTCTATCTGGCAAGAATTAAATTTCTCTTTTCTTACCTTTTCCCAGCCTCCCTCAGGGTGTGTGATAGGAGGTTATAATAAGACTGAATTGGGAGGGAGGAGAGAGAAGAGTGGAGGAGCAACAGAGGTAAGGAAGGGTTTAGGCAAGGGACATTTGGGAGCTGTTGCCACAGAGGCATCAAAAATGGGAATACCCTCTTCTACCCAAGTTAAAACCTCCATCACTTCACTCCTTTCCCTGATGGCAGTGAATCCATTCTGGTTCATTTCCAATAATTGTGCTAAAAATCAATTTTATAATCCCATTGAGTTGCATATGCCTTGCTCTTATACTGTAACTATGTTCCATTCCCAATAAATAATTTGAAAATTATTAATGATATTTTTATTAAAATATTCAACAACTTTAAAAAATACAACATATAATTACCCTCTTTTTTATTCAAATTTCCCTGAGCCTCGGTTCCTAATCTGTAAAATAAGAGGTTTGACTAGAATCATCTCTGAGATCTCTCCTAGTTCTAAATCTAAAATCCTATCACCCTTTTAAATATATATATATGTGTGTGTGTATGTGTGTGTGTGTACACATACATATATATAAATATATTCATTTTATGAATAAAAAAATATGGCTAGAAACTGAATGAATAAATGTATTACTTTGGTCAATTACGTCCACAAGGCAGAAGAGCAGTTGATGGCACACAATATCCCCAGCATCATGGATTTTTAAGATCTAGAAGGGTCTTTAAGAGTCATCTAGATGAACTTCCTCATTTTACAGGTGAGAAAACAGCCCAGAAGGGTTACAGGACTTACTCTGTCACATTTAACTCAGGCCATTTGACTCCACAACCAATCCTCTTTCCATGGCATCAGGCTACCTTCTGTGTGTGTTCAGTTCACCGTAAACAGGAAATTATCAGTTTTGTGTTGTGCAGTCAAACAGGACAACAGACAAGTACTTCTGCTCGTAGTGGAGTTGTTTCTGCCAGCAGAAACCTAATCTCAACATCGGTGAATTGGCAAAGGTAGTTATTTCTTTGTGTAGATTACTCCCTCTAACCAGGCAATAAAAAAAATCTGTCTTCTGTTCTTTGGGGGAGGAAAAAAAATCATGTAACTTGATGAAGAAATAAGAAAAAAGAGAGGGGGGGAACCCCGGTATTTAGGATATGTCATAGTTAGGCCTAATTTAAAAAAATAATTTTTTTAAAAGCCCTTACTGAAATGACCTAAAATGTAGCTTTTCATTTTATTCCATTGGACAAGGGACAGTTTATTCTGATGCCTCAGGATTATTTTATTCCTGGTTAAGTGATACTGGAAGAGGGCATAACTGAACTGTCACATGAATTACAAAAGCCTTCAGTTAAATATGTATGGTATACCACCCTGTGGCAATATTCTGCTATTACATATGGCAAGCATAAAAATAGGCATTGTATTTTTTCCTAGCAGAAAGGGGGTAGAGGGAATATTTACATATTGCAGTAATTAGAAAGAGGGGTGGCAAGCATATGCAGATTTGCAAATGAGAATTTAATAGCAAACTTCATCACTGGGATTCACATCTGACAGTTTACTGCATCTTGCTGCTGATTTCCCTGTTGCTGCTATGGTTGTGCATCTCGTGTAAAGAGAAAGGTTGTTGGTTTTTATTGATTTTTCTTCTTGGCCTATCCAAGTGAAATCTGAGCACTTTTTTGATTTCAGAATTAATTTCTTGGCATATTTTGGTGAATGATGGTAACAGGGAAGGCCAGGTTTCTGACTGCCTAAGTTGGCTTCTATCCATTGCTTCTCCATGTGCTAGTTGAGTCAGCAAAGGATATGTTACTTATTTATTATATTTCTAATTGACAAGAAACTGCTTTCCATAGAATAAGATAATAAGAACCTGAAGGGAACTTAAAGGCAGCTTGGTTCAGTGGACAGAACGTGGGACTTGAAGTCTAGAAAACCTGCGTTTGAATCTTACTTCAGGGGACCTTGGACAAGTCACTTCATTTTGATGGGCCTCAGTTTTCTTATCTGAAAAATGAAAAAATTAGACTTGATCTCTTTAGTTATCCCTTAAAGATCTAAATCTATGATGCTTTGAAATCATTTAATATAATGGCCGCATTTCACATATAAAGATACTTGGGCCCAGAAAGACAAAGTTACTTGCTGGAGACTATATCTCAAATAGAGCTTGAACCCAGGAAGAATAGGGGAAAAAAGTAGCAAAAAAAACCAAAAACAAACAAAAAAAATTGTATTTCAACTCAAACCTTATCTCTCTTACTAGCTACTTATGAGCCCTTGGTGAAGTCAGCTTACCCTTTCTAGGTCTGTTTTTTTTTTTTCTATAAAATGAAGCAACTGAACTAGATGACCCTTGTTCTCCCTTCCAGTTCTAAATTCCATGGTTGTAATTTAATTTTCTGGCAATATAATTATTCTAGCAATATAATCATTTTATATGTGAGGAAATCAGACTTATAGAGAACAACAAATAGTATTTATATTGTGCTTTCATTTTATAATGTGCTTATCTCATTTTATCCTCACAACAACCATCAGGGTAGGTACTATTACTATCTCCCATGTTACAGATGAAGAAACTGAGGCAGATAGAGCTTACATGCTATTTTTATTCCCATATGATAATTGAATAAACCGAGGCAGACAGAGATAAAGTGGTCAGACACTTGGTGTCTGAGTCCATGTTTAAATTCAGATCTTCCTGACTCCAGATCCAGAGCTCTGAGGTGCAGTGAGTGATGTGCCCAGAGTCATGGCAGGACTCAAACTCAGGTCTTCTGTCTCTGCCTGTGTTCTCCCTCTTATGCCATATCAGAATGCATACTGTATTTCTCAACTTAACATTGATACCCCTTTTGGTCATATACAAACATAGATACCTCTTCAGGAAGGAGAAAAGTCGAAGTCTGGGTGCATTCACACTCAGTGTTATTACAGGAGAGGCAAGTTTGTTGCCAAGTAGAATAAGCACTGATCTGAAAGTCAATTCGGGTTTGAGTTCTGACTCTACTCTGTGACCCTGAGCAAACCACATAACCTCCCTTAGCCTCAGTTATTGTTTCTTAATCTGGAAAACTGGGGAAAAATACTTAGAGTAACTTCCTCAAGTGTGTAGACAAAAGTGTTTGTAAATTGTCAAGTACTATACAAATTTACACAGCTTATTATTATTTCTAATGGCCTTTGCTAATAACAGATAAGTCTT